TTTCCTTTTTCTTTGGGATGGTTTTTGTTGCTGCCTCCTGGACAATGTTACGAGCCTCCATCCATAGTTCTTCAGGTACTCTGTCCACCAAATCGAGTTCCTTAAATTAGTTCTTCACTTCCACTGTGTATCCATAAGTGATTTGGTTTAGATTATACCTGACTAGCCCAGTGGTTTTTCCTACTTTCTTCAGTTTAAGCTTGAATTTTATTATAAGAAGCTGATAATCAGAGCCACAATCAGCTCCAGGTCTTGTTTTTGCTGACTGTATAGAGCTTCTATATCTTTGGCTGCAGAGAACATAATCAATCTGATTTTGGTATTACCCATCTGGTGATGTCCATGTGTAGAGTCACCTCTTGTGTTGTTGGTAAATAGTGATTGTGATGACCAGCTTGTTCTCTTGACAAAACTCTATTAGCCTTTGCATTGCTTCGTTTTGAACTCCAAGGCCAAACTTACCTGTTGTTCTTTTTATCTCTTGACTCCCTACTTTAACATTACAGTCCTTTATAATGAGAAGAACATCTTTCTTTGGTGTCAGTTCTAGAAGGTGTTGTAAGTCTTCATAGAATTGGTCAATTTCAGCCTCTTCAGCATCGGTGGTTGGTGATGTATACTGACATTTTATTTTTTAAAAAATCCTTGCTAACTGGCAAAGAACATGTGAAAGTGCTGTACAGTTTATAAAGAGTGACTGTGAGAATGCTCTGCATATAAGAAACAGCCTTCATGATTTATGTGACAGTCCTGCCTTGTTCTATCGGTCATAGCGTTGACATGTTTCAGACCTTGGCCCTGAAATTCATGTTTTGGGATCTGTTCTTTGGCTGTCAGGTTTGGGAACTGAAATGCCAGGGAAGAGGATGCTGCCAACTTGGTGATCCTAGATTCTGGGAGTTTATTGTCCTGTTTAGATATATTCAGAAGTACCCCTGATTTTTTTCATTATCTTGCAGATGTGCTGCTGTTACTGGAATTCATTCATTGCCTTTAAATGCATCATTGAATCTTTACATCCTCTTTGCACTAGCTGCTGATAGCCAGCCCTGTGACGTCACAAAGGCCCACTTCCATCAGATCTCAATGATAGGTTTCTGGCTTTGGCCCTTACATCTCGGAGAATGAAATCTTGCGGGAGCCTGGCATGCTCACGTGCATGCACAGTGTGCTCGCGGGGGCACTTGCACACATATATGTGGCGCACTCACAGGGGGCAGAGTACACTCACATTTATGCATGTGGCATAGTCATAGAGGTGCTCACGGGGGGGAAAGGAGATCTATGTCCGTGGCCCAGTCCTGCCTAGGCCGCGGCCCACTGCTGGGTCACGGACCGGAGGCTGGGGATCTCTGCTATAGAATATTGGTTCTGATGCTCATAGCCATAGTGGACCATAGTTTTACCTGCACGGCCTCTGTAAAGCAAATCAACATGATCAGCCATCCTTCCTCTCCAAACCCTTAATCTCATTTTCTTTATTTATAAAAGTCTATATTCCCTATTAAGCTTAAACTTCCAAAGTTTTGCCAGCTCACATCTCAAATAGGAACTCTCAAATAGTTCCTTGTAAATGTAAAGAACCATTACTCAAGTGGCAAACACAAAAAAGAGCCAATTTATTCCATTATTCTCAACAATTTGTTCTCTTCATTGAATAGCAAATACTTGAAAAAACAACTTCACACCTAGCATTTTACCTAATTGAATTGAATTTGCTAAACACATATACTCATTTTGGGAAAGCTATGTCATCCCATAAATATCTACAAGTACAGCTGAAATGTCAGCTTTAATTCTCATGACTTAGTGGGTAACTGAAATTTAATATTATTCGCTACAATGCCTTGTAGCTTCCAAAAATTACTATTTTCACTGTTTAACCAACCTTCCTCTGAATCTTTAGCTCTCTTTACCTTATTAATATATTGAGGCATCTGCAGCCATAAGTACTTATCCTTAAAAAATACATGCATTATATTTTGATTAATGAAATCTAAAGAACTACATAAATAAATCATAAATTCTGTAATACAATTGCTTACCGTTTGCTCCAGTGGGCTAATGAACTCAGGAAGTGTTAAATTATGTTGGGAATGATTCCTTCTATGACAGGATATCTGAAAAATATATCCATTTGCAAGTCAGAATTGGCTCACATCAAGTCAAACATTGTTGTACATGGAAGGATGCACTGAAAATAGCTTGAGAGAATGTACACAATTTTCACTGCACAAACTGATGAACATCTGCACACTAATAAAATTGATAGGGATTAATGATAATTAATATATAGAAAGAGCATTAGAGAGTTCAGAGTGCTTCCCAGACAGTAGCTCATTGATACTTTTAACAATCCTGTAAGCTAGGTCACTACAATTCTCAGAAGGACATGCTTCTTTGGGCTCAATTCATAATTATGCTTGGCTAATAGATCTACTCCTCCCCAATCCTGAAAAATAACTGGGTTATTTCTATATCTAACAATGTGGTCTTTGGGGATCTGCTGTTCTCCAATTAACACAGAAAGCATTGTGAAGCCTGAATCCTCGTTCAAACTCTGGGATTATTGGCAGTGAACATTATAATTTGGCAAAAGAAACATTGCAACAAGGGAATTATGAATAGTGATGTCACTAATTTATTTTAGTAAAAGGCAATATCTCTGGACGCCAGTGTTTTTCTGTGGGAGATGAATATGAATATTGCTACCATAGGTGCCCCGGCCAGTTGGACACTTCCCCCCTAGAACTGGGCCATCCACTTACGCTTGTGGTGTGATGCATGCAGCCCTTTGTCGTTCATGCCACCAATAGAGGAAGTAGCCCAGCGAGGGCTTCCCCACCTCCCGCTACTGCTGACCACTCAGCAGCCAAGTGTGTAGACTCATCACCCCACCTCCTCACCAGATTGGTCAGGAACAAAGGGAGGCAATGAAGCCCCGGCCAGGCTACTTCTGTGACTGCTGCGGTGCAATGGCCATGCACACCATGCCTCAAGGAGTCTTTGGATGGCCTAGTTCTGGGGGAGGGTCTAATTGTCCCAGCCACCTGTGGTGGTGATATTCATATTTGTCTCCCCGGGAGATGAATACAAATATTCCTTCTCTAGACCACACCCTTTCCCCCATGTACATGTCACCTACTTGTTCCCAGTCAACTCAGTGATGCAGTAGACTGGGAGCCATTCTGTTAGCCTCTCTTTTTTCCCCATGAAAACTAGAGCTATGATGACTTGCCCATCTGAAACATTCATAAAGCAAAATATTTTCCTTGTTCATTGTTTTTATTCATCATTGTTTGTAGCATAGTTCAGTTGTCTGTCACCTCACAGGGCTGCAAAATGGTATGCCAAGTAGGGCCTTCCACTGGCTTTGGTTGAATCCTGAATTACTAACCACGGTGATTCATACTGATTTGTACATGGTCTGGACTAAACAGGAATAGCTGGATTAGATTTGAAGACTAAGGAAAAGGCACAAATTGAGTCAGATGGGCTCAAATCTCTTCACCCTACCAGGTTTATTTGTTTGTTTCTTAAGCAAACTTTAACAGTGCCTCATAAACATCTCCCTGAAATTACATTCCTGGAATATGTGTGGTTTACTCCCCCCTCCTCTTCAGTATCTCCAACTTTCCTATGCATCAGTACAAAAACAGAACACGGCTATTTTCCAATGCAAGTTAATGAGAGGCTGAGGAGGCTTAGAATTCAGTTTTGATCCAGGATACAAATCAAATTGGATCAGGCACAGATCACTTGCCCGGAATGTATCAGGATCTATTCCAAAGCTCCAAATTTATCTCTAAACCAAAATAGGAGCCCTGATATCAGGCACAGAAGGCATTTCAGCTTTTGCTTCCTCATAGTAGTATGCTTGCTAAGATTGGTTGGCTGTTTCTATAAATATATATAAAGAAGAGCAGAGACAATATAGACTGTACTAGAACAGTACTATTAAAGGAAACTATTAATTATATTCATATTTGTTAGTGAGAATAAAAGGAAGTTATGGTATGAATCTGCAGTGTAGGTATGCCTTCAGTACTGAATGCTATTGATTCCAATCACCTCAAGGAAGAAGTCAACACAAGTGGTGACCTGGCATTAGCGCTCACTCATTTTGTGAAAGCAGGAAGCAGTGATTTCATTGGAGGAGGAAGACTTGCTCTATGGGGATTTAGATCTGATAGATAATTATTATGCACATTTATATAAGGCATCAGTCAACAGTGAAGATACAATCCCAGGATCAGTTCCCACCCCTCTGAGTATCCTAGACTTAACACAGTTAGGTAAAGGTAAAGCTTCCCCTTGACAATTTTTGTCCAGTCGTGTCCGACTCTAGGGGCCAGTGCTCATCCTCATTTCCAAGCTGTTGAGCCAGCATTTGTCCATAGACAGTTTCCATGGTCACATGGCCAGTGCGACTAGACACGGAACGCCATTACCTTCCCACCGAGGTGGTACCTATTTGTCTACTCACATTTTACATGCTTTTGAGCTGCTAGGTTGGCAGGAGCTGGGACAAGCGACAGGAGCTCACTCTGTCACATGGATACTAATCACTATTGTTTTGAATTATTTTTAACTGTTTTAGCTTACAGTGTTTAATGGAACCCGACCGGAGTAGACTTTGTCTAAAAGGGCAGGATAGAAATCTAATACATAAATTAATAAAATAAAACTGCTTATCTTTCGACCTTGCAGCCCAGAGGTTTTGCAGTTTAACCCACAGCGCCACCACGTCCTGTAACACAGTTAGGATGGTGCGTTTATGAAGGAACTGGGGATGATTAGGAGAGCAAGTCTGGTGTAGTTTTTCTAGAACTCAGGACACCTAGGTTCAAATCTCTACAGTACTTGGCCAGAGAAACTCATTAAGGGGCAGCAATGGTAAGCTCCATCTTATTTTCCATTGAAGTCAGTTAATGTCATGAGTCATTCTGTGGTCTCACACCTTCCTTTTCATGTGATGAAAATAACTTCTTAAACCTATCCATAGCAGAATTGTAGCTGCTAAAACTTGGAAACTAGGGGGAGTGTCATTAAAAGAGCCAGGACAGTCAGCTGTTGGGTTATTTTCTTCTGTATTATTACTCTGGTATCCTATCTTTTTCCCATAGTGGGGCTCAAAGTATTTTACATAGGTTTCCTAGTGTACCAGTTGGGGACTGACCTCTCAAGTGGAGACACTAATATAAATGACTATATTTTTAGTAGCTTTTCCTGGAGCTTTATTTTTTTTTTAAAAAAAAAAGAACATAATTTGCAAGTAGGACTGAAACATATAAAGAATTTCTTATCTTAATCTCAGAAAGAAATAATCAGTAAATTTTGACTGATTTTTAACTACACTCTCTGCCTTTTTCCCTGTTAAAGCGCAGTTAACAAGACACCATAATACATCCTGTTTATATGTAAATGTTGGACTCTACAAAATGTTCATAATTAATCCAGAGGGCCTCCCTCAAAATATACTTTAAAATATTACGATCCCATATTTTATGGCACAGATTGCTTTCATGTTTATTTGTAAGCACTAACATTTTAAGCCCTGCAACCCACATCTTAGAAAGCGCTCTACTCTTCCAGTGACAGCTAATGAGCTTAATGAATTACCCATTCCAAATTTAATACCGTTTCACAGAGAAAACAGAGAAAAGGATTCTCTGTGATTCAAAAGTTTCACTGACCTATTTATGAGGAATATCACTTAACAATTTCATTAGAAATGAGTAACAGCTGGTGACATGGCTGTGTCCTAAAGTGTTTTTCTCTCTTAATATTCTGCATCTTAAGCAATCGAGCCTTCATAAGAAATACTTTCGTTAGCGGCAGTCCCTCCTTTGGGGAGAAAAAAAATGTCAGACCACATTTTCTGTATTTTGCAATCTTGTTTTCGGGAGTGTCACGCTCCTGTTTTATTAGCATGTAGGGTAAACAAGAATGATTTGCTGATGCTGTTGAGAGAACTTCTAAGGTTTTAGATTTTTCGTTTAGATTTTTGGGCAGAACTTTAATATTAATGCACACCGAAACATCTGCATATATTCAAAAATAAATTACTTCCATTTATCTTTCTTTCCCCCATATCTTTTAATGTTCTACAGATCTGGCACTCATATTCATGCTAGGACATCCATATCTAAACTGTGCACATCTACAACATTTATATTATCAAGTAAAGATTAATATTCTTAATTACATTTTTATATATAGGACAGCAAAATGTTGCTAGATATTATTTTATCTGCAGAATTAATGCAGATGACTTCCCTATCATTCTTTTGGCTAGATCAGCAGTACTCTACCAACAATTCAAAGAGAATAAATATGAAGAGATAATGTCAAAGCGAAGCAACTTAATGCTGCCAATTCTAAGCACAGCCACGTTGGTGTTCTTCTAAGTCAACACAAAGAGGAATGTGTTCTGTCTGAGGAAAGTGACAAAACTTAGTGGGGGTTAAATGCATACAATCTTGGCTTGGTCATATCCATATGAAAAATTAAGACATTCTGAGGGAGGAAATCTGAGTGACGTTATGTCCCTCCTAACGTGAGCAATCATAGATTAGAAGCAAATGAGAAAATGAAAAGTTATTTTCATTCCCACAGAATCCGAGGCTTGCTTCTATAAAAATAAGCATTACCAAGAGTTATTTTGGAACAGCCAAAAGCTTTCAATGGTACTCACTTTATACCACCAAACACCACATTCTATGTTCCAAGGTAGGTGTGCAGTGCATACATGCATCTGTTTTAAACTGTTCTTTATAGGGCAAAAGTGAGAATTATCTTCTCATATGCTACAAAACCCAACATTTAACAGTCATAATATATAAAGTTAGTAGACAGACCCAAGGGAAATCATGGAGGTTTCCCTCAAAGAATGAACACAAAACTGTACACAAACAATGAAGGGGAAAAAGGCCATGTTTTCATCTGTCTATCATCTATTCCAATGAAATAAGCAAAATGCATGCCCATCACAACTAGGGTATGTAGAGGCATTGTCACAAGGCTACAAAGAGTATTATTGAAGGTATAGTACCTTCAAGAGTATCCTTCAAGGTATAGTAATCTCCATTGATTTAAAATCTCATCTGAAAAGCTTTTG